GAAAATTAGTGAAAGATTCATATATTTATTAGAGGTATTGAAAAAGTATTTTATGAATCGTAATTAAACTAACGAGTTTCAAGATATATTTTAAAATATTCGTTAATTTTTCCTATTGAATATAGCGAGATAATAACTAGGATTGAATGTATCATTTATTGATAGTCCTTATTCAAGTAATATTCTTAAAATTATAAAATTCTATAAAGTACCGTTATGTCGATTAGTAAGGGCCTTGAAAAAAATCTAGTGCTCCTGGCCCTGCATACTCCAGTAATAGTATACAGCATACCAATAATTGAAGAAAGGAGCAAGCTTTTGCATGTCCTCGTTCAGTACAACAAGAACAAGTTCAACGATGATGCCATGGGATGGAACTGCACATATCCTTTATAGCCAAATTCTAACGCAACACATTGATGCTTGTAGTCTGGCTTTAGAACATCCCTATGACCATCCTGTTGATACCCACAACATAAACTGGAGAAAATCTGGACATTGTTTCCAGCCCTTTGCAGCCACGGTCCTCACTGCTCTCGCCATTGAATTAAACGCATCAAGCGTGCGATGTTTCCTGCTTCCGCCCTGATGTGTGAGCTCTGGCTCTGCACTCATTCTCTGCGATCTTACTTTTAGTAATCACTTGAGAGCCGTTTCAGCGTGCCAAACTGCCAAACATCCCCAAATGAACCGCAAAGGTGACACGTCGCGTGCTTAGCCTTGTACGGTCGCTGCACTCAGGGATGTGTCTAGACTGCGGCGCAATTCGGCTTTCACGGATCTGCACGAGAAGTCCTGGGGCGCCCTGAAGCTGCATAGCTTCGAGCAGACCGGGGAATTAGGCTTGGCAGGTGAAGCAAACTCGAAGCTTGCCAAAGCAAGTGCTGAGCTTCAGCCAAAATGCTCTGGCCACAAAAGACATGACAAGAAAGGTTCGAGGAGCTTTGTCGGCGCCTAGAAGCATCTGCGGGCCTGCGGGTGGGTAGGAAGAATGCCTGCTCCGCCATTTGGCTTCCGCCGATCTCCTCGGAACCCTACTAAAGCTTCAATTCCACCAAAAGCCCACGTCTTGCTCCGACTCCAGTCCCACGGATCTCCTCAATTTCGATTCAAGCAATCAACAACGCCCCATCCTCAGTAGCTATTTCCATCCAGGGATTGGGGCTAAAACCTCAACCCTGAACACCTCGACGGCGAGATGCTCCATGTCAAGGTCGAGATAGGGTTCGACACCCCGGAATCTTCTTGTGCAAGGCCCGAATTCCTTCCGTCCTGAGCCCTAAACCACCAAACTACGTGAACACCAGGAATCCTCGCGTCTTAGAGTAGGCCACGGGGCGGTCAACGGAGAGAGCAACCCAGCATCACTTAAGCCGGGCCCCGCACTTTCGAGCTTTTGCAGGAGGGTCCTCCCTGTCAAGTGCTCGGCCAAGACCCTACAGGCCCTTTTTTGAAACCGGACTTGATGACTGTAGGGCCCTACACCCTAAACTACGCCTCCCTCTCTTTGGTGTGCGACAGTCCATGAAGAGCCCACTAAGAGCCCTTTCCAAAGCAGCAGACTCATCGTTCTGAAAAAGGCGAGTCCCCATTCTCTAGCAGTCTAGCACTTGGAGGTAGGACAGCCAGTGCCCGTGCATTGCAGCCAAGGCTTCGTCCGACGCCCATCAACGCAAGGTCTTCGTTGAAGCTTTGCGAGCAAGGGGCTTCAGTTGCTAGGACTGCTAGGATGGTTGCAAGACACAAAGGGTCGCCACTCCTCTCCAATTGGAGTTGCAATAAAGACAACTGCGATGCAGACATCAGTTGGTCTTTTGCGCCGGGGCCACAACGACAGCGGCGCGTTGGAGACTCAGCTTCGGCCATTCCAGGTTCTCATATCGCACTCACTTTTAGCACACTTGGCTGAAGTCCTGCCGACGGACTCCTACACTTTTTGCAGCCTTTGCCCTCAAGTTTCTTTACATGGGCCGCTGACACTGACAAAAGATCGCTTCTGGGCTCCAATATCTCCTGAGATCACTAAAGTTGGTCTTTGCGCTGTGGCCACAACGTCGCCTCGGAAACGACTCCAGTTCTACGACAGTTTGAACACGGACGGTTGAAACAGAAAACTGATCGCTCCTGCACTTCAAGGCCTAGGAAGTGCTGCAGCGAAGAGCTCGCAACGATGCATTGGAGACACAGCTTCCGCCATTCCAGGCTTTCAGCGGGCCGTGGATTTGGCCCTCACGCATTCCGCACACTTCGGCTTATTTGCACTTCAGGAGGAAGCGTAGTTTAGAGATCGGGCTCTTCGAGCCTATAGGTTTCAAGGAGCCCGCGGATCCCCGCACATCACGTGCAATTCACTGCAAGTGCAGCGAGCGGGGCGTACAGAAAGCCTCCATCTTGGGCAGAAGGCTAGCTAAATCCTACAGTACCTGTCAAACCCTGTAACTCGAGATCCCAGAGCTTAAACACGAAACCAACCTGGCTCTCACGCAGTCATCTAACCTCCTGCACTCAGCGCGGTTTTTCCCATGGAGCTTATTTGCACTTCAGAAGAGGGGACATGTCGAATTTGTGGCCCGTATGTTGTCCGTGAGCCATACTCCTTGCGAGCTGCTCGTTGGTCGAGGCGTGATGAGACAAACGGCCGCGACGGGCTCCAATCGCTAGGATGGTTGAGATGCACGAACGATCAGTGCAAGAATGTTGGACCCGCCATCGGCAGATCTTGGCTCTGGGACCGGGAACTCCTCCCAGAACCAGGGAGGTCGCGAGCTGCATATACACAAGTCTGCAACAGCACAAACAACACGGACATATCAGGGGAGTTAGGCCTTCGAGCCCCCTGCCAGCGTCTGCAGAGCACAGGGACATCAAGTCTTCATGGGCACCTGGGGCCTGAGTATCTTCTACATTCTACATACTCTCGAGGAAGCTCTCCTTGGCCCGGTTCTGCAAATCGAGACTTTTTCACAGTGGTAGTACAACCTGTGTGAGACGCCAGCCCTGTCTCAAAGGAATCCTTCCATCAACTTACCTCCCTGCACAGGCCAAGCTCGCAAACACTCGCATGGAGTGTGGCAAAGGAAGGCTCCTCCCTTTGACACAACAGACTCTCACAGCTAAAGCTATGTGAGAGTCAGGCCGAGGCTGCTAATACTGCCCTCGCCCCTTGTAAATGCACCCATGAACCCAAAACCCTAAACCACGAAACCCAGGAGTATCCCTTCAACTCAGTTGTTAGTACCCCTACTGCGCAAACCGTGCCCTTCTTACTATTGCGGAGCACTGGCATGGGCAACCCCAGTCACTCTGCAGGCAGCTGAGCAAGATAAGCTCCAGGCCCGCAGACCTGAAACTTCGCCCATCTCGGACACACAGATAGGCGGAAGGGATCCAATGGATCCAGAGTGCACGTGCCACAATGCAAGGCCGTCCCACGTCTCCCGAGACTCTGGACGAAGTTAGAAATCCTCATGGACCTCACCGGGGCCTTGGAGCAGAGCGAGCGGTGTCGAAGCGAAGCCTATGCTGGAAGCCCGTGCGCTCACCTGGCAGCAACGAAGCATCTAAGCTATAGGAAGCTGAGGCTCCTCGTGGCTGCACCCCGCGCAAGCTTTTCAGGGCCAGGTGAAGCGCAAAGCGTGAGCAAGCCACAGGGCCCACGGGGCTTCGCGACGCCAGATGGCCAGATGATAGATGGCAGCGGGGTCAGCTTGCTCCTCCATACTCTGTAAGAACTGGCCATGTGTGTCATGGCAAGGACAAGGACGAAGACATGGCTCAAACACATCTGGGCGTTAAAGCCCAAGCAGCAATGTGAGATCCAAGATCAGCACGCCTCAGCAGACGCAAAGAATCGAATCTGGCTGGAGGCTCGGAACAGGCAACAGCGAGGCTGCATAGCTTCCCGGCACAGCCTGAGCATTGAAGCTTTCCTGAGCACGGGAAAAAATGCAGTAGGGGCGTAGCAACTTGCAGGAGACAGCCTAGCTCACTGACAGGTAGATGCCGTCCGTCCTCGCAGGAGGCGTGTGCCTAGAGCCGGGCCGGGATGGCTGGGATGGCATGCTGTCTCATCGACGCCTGCGAGGGGCGAGAACCGCCCGAAGTGGGGAGTTGATGGCTGCGCGGTACGGTTCAGGGGGCGTTCGGGACCTTTCAATGCATCTCAGTTGTCGTCACAGCCTTGAGCGCGCGAGTCATGGCAGGCTATGCTCCATCGTTTGATAGTCGAGATGAAAAGCCTTCCGCCACAACCCTGCTTAGACCACAGAGCAACCACAACTCAACGCGGAGCTCAGCAAGCTCTCGCAGTGTGCCCACCGCAGCCCTAGTCACCAAGCCGCGAGATGAACTGGGTCCGGACCTCCTCCTGCACCTGGCTTTTTCCAATCTTTCTACTTTCACTTCTCAGAATAAATCACCGCAGCGTCACTCAACAACAAAAAATTGCTCTCGTTGTCACAAAGAGACAAAGAGATGAGGCAAAGAACCAGACAGGCGCGATGAGCGAGAGGCAGCAGCTGCGCCATCTTGCAACACATGCAGGACCTGGCTGGAATTGACTCTTGCCCTCTGCTGTCCTGGGCACTACAACTTAAACGGGCTGCTTTGCCTATTCCAAGTTTCCAAGGACTCGCATGGGTGCTGGAAGTCACCGGCAGAAGCATTAACATGTTGGTGCACATTCCGCGGCACAACTGCAGGCACTGCAGTCAGACCGAAGCGCTGTTGGACGACTGATCCGAATCCAAGGACTCAATAGTAGTGGCCAACATGTAGTTCAGCTACCGACGCCACTAAAGCCAAGTCAAGATTGTGTAACATGATAAATGCCAAAGCCCTGGATGTTGACAAACATGCCATCTTCACCGACCCGCATTTATGCGACACTAAGGAGCAGCACGCCGGCTGTGGGCATATGTATGCCACAGCTTTATCGACAAAGTGAATCCAAAATGCTGCGAGCAGACGCTCGCGAACTTGTAGTCGGACTCTCAAAAATCTTAGGCTGGCACGTACCCTGCCAAGAGGCCCAAGGCAAGAAAGAGGCTAATCCGCCTGGCTTTTTGAAAATTTTCCTGGCGGTCGTCTACTAGGGCCTTGATGATTCTGAGTCCTTGAATGGGTCCGGCAGCTTCCAAGGCCGTGCTTTCTGAGCCCTCCGATATGAGGAGGAAGCCTGCAGTAAGACGCAAGGAACGTACACAAGTGACAAAGCTGGCAAGCATCTCTGCAAAACCCTTCCACCCCCCCGGCTGCCCCAACGGCCGCGGCTTCACGCGAATCTTGTGGAAGCTTGCTTGGCAAGTCATGGTCCTGCTGTGGTGACGTGCTGCGGCGTCATACAAGCCCAGCCAACATCAAGACCTCAAAAAGGACGAAGGAGACGTATGCCGCGAGTCAAGAGCCTATCGATTCACTGCTGGCCTCTGAGCTGCTAGAAGATTTTCAGCAGGGAGACAAGGTCAGGTACCGTTAAAGCGCTCTGTGGTGCTCCGCAGCTCAAAGCCCTGCGGGTTTGGGGTAAGAATGGGGAAGGTTTCGGATTTTAGGCCTAGGAGGGTCTGTCGGGCGCTTTTCCACTTTTCTCGCGGCCCTGCTTGCCTTTTTCAGGTGCTCGCCGCTTTGCCGTTTGCTCCATCACCATCACCTTCAAACATGTTCCGAAATCCAAGCCCCAGCCAGCTAAAGCCAGCCAATGCGCGGCCAGCAGACCAGCCTGTCATCATGCATTGTCATCATGATGCAACTCGGGCAGTTGTGAAACAACGGGCCAGGTCCACGTCAGTACCACTCTGGAGCTAGCTGACACTGCGCGACTGAAGCATGGTTTGTGTTGTGCGACATCAGGCAGCCACTAGCACGGGAAGGGTCCATCGCCAGCAAGCAGCTGTTGCGAAGGCAGCTGTGTGACTCTCCCCGTAGCCCATTAGAAGGACCCAGCATTTCGGGGAAGCCGGTTGATGTTACGCCGCCCGGCCAATGCGCAAAGCTGAACTGGCCTTTGTCTCAGGATCTGGAGTCGGAGGCGTGTCAGGGAGAATCGAGTTCTGACGTCAAAATCTCAGACAGCAGAGGGATGGCCAGCGCCTGATTTCCAACAGTCCCTCCCAGAGACAACATAACCAAGACAGACCTGCCACGTTGAGCACACTGGAGGGCAGGAAACCTATGCCCCCAGACTGGAAGCACTTCTGTTCTACGCAGCTGGCGGAGAAGCAACAAGGCCAAGGCAATGAATGAGCACAAGCGGACAAGCCACGAGCAGGTAGGTTCCGTAGCCGGATCGAACAAAATCTTCAACCCCAACCCTAGTGCACGGACATGCCACCCGCCATGGTTGACAAGTCTAATGCAATGAGACGGATGACGCCCTTCCAGTTCCATCAAAGACCACGTCATGTTGCTACTTGGATAGCTGTTGGGCGCCTTCTCAGCCACAGCCGCACCACTCAGCGTTCTGTTGCCAGACTGAGGTACAAGAGCTTTACCATGTAAGCAGCTCCTGATTCAGTCCCTAGCAAGATCAAGAGAAAGTGTCAGGCCTGTGGCAGCACACCATGCCAGAAGATGGCTTGTTTCGGTCCAATGCATTCACCAAAAGCTCATGGAGCCTGAGAGAAGCCTCTGTGAGGACCATCTGTACGTGCAGCCAAATGTTGGCACCTGACAAGTTCACACCACAGAGCAAACGAAAGGAGAAAGGCAGATTCGCCAAAACTTCAAGAAGGACAGCTTTGGTGTTGTCCGCACTTTGGACAGGGTGCCCCACCCTCCTCCCTGAAAGGAAGGTTTTTAGAGCGTCCACTTTCCGAGCTACTTTCCGGTTACGAGAGGCCGTAGGCACGGGAGGAGGGGCGGAGGAACTCCGATACACAACCTGAACTCGGACTCGCAACCCATCCCTGAGCTAGGCTCCTTCGTGAATGAGGCACGCTTTAGGCACGCCTTCTGCACAGCCAGCTGGAGGACTCCCGCATATCTCTCTGATGGAATCTTCTGGCGCCCCTTTCGCCCATGCAGTGCACAGTGGCTGTTCTGAAGGCTAGGTCAAGGAACAAAGCCGTGGAACACTGAACTGGGCAGAAAACTCCGGGCTTCAGAGCCCAGGGACTCACAAGGGTGCAGGAGTGACAAAGAGTACCAGGCCACGGCTTTTTGAGGCTCGCTTGGGAGCCCTGGTCTACCTGACTAGACGATACTAGACGGCTGAGGTTTCAGTCTGCACAAGCTATGACAAAGCACAGAAATAGATCGCAAATGAATCTTCTGCAGGAAGCCAAAACTACCTTCAAGAGTACAACTTGCATGGCTTGGGGTCGTGAGATTCCAAGGAATCAAGGGAAGGCAAGGAAACTACAACAGAAGAGCAGTCTCGGACTTGTAGAGTCACGGCAGTTGATTGCCTGCCTTCTGACGACACCCTGGGTGACCTGGGGGCCGGGAAGTGTTTCACTCGCTTAGGCATAGGGTTCGTGATGGCGCAGTCTCCGGTGGGGGGTGTAGACATTGGAGGGGGCAGTGGTATCGGTGCAGCACCACTGTCAACAAGAAACGAAAATTTCCAGCAGCCTCAAACTCAATCCTTGCCTGACTACTCATAAGAGCTTGGATGACCTGCTGCGAGCCGTTACAGTGGACTCTTGCAACCCTGTTGTAGGTCGATAAGTGTGCACTTCCCAAAACCCTCCTGTCCAGCGTGCCACAGGGGCGCTTCTTGAGATGCGGAGAGAGCAGGCTGCAAGCCCCCACAAAAAGAGTCGAAGGATGCTCATGACTGCAGGCACCAGTGAGAATCTCAGAGGCTTTCTGTGGACTGTACCATAGAAGTTGTGCGGGCTTGAGTGGCTTGAGGGTTGGTTGAGGGCCTTTCTGCCTGCATCAATAAGCATGAGTTTCTTTGGCTCCAAACTGAGAGCATCCAACTTCGCTGCCCGACAGAGTTGATCTGAGAGACTCCATCGGCGACTACCACTTGCAGCAGTAAGTCTTCTCGAACTTCAAAAACTGCGGTGTCTTTGCAAAAGGTGCTCCGAAAACAATAGGAGAGTTTGAGATTGAAGGCCCGACGAAGATCGAGGAACGTACTGCCAAACAAGTGGCGAGGTGACCGGTCCAAAATCAAATGAAACGGAGGCTTAGCCTGTTGTTTGAAAGCTAGGCCTTGCTGGAAGTTGCTTGAAGCAGCACTGTCTCCTCAAGGGCCCTGGCCCTTTCCCCCTGCCTTGCCCAGGTGGGCGAGGCCGAAAGAAGGATGTCTTCCTTCGAAGCTGTCGACATTCGTGCGTCTGAATTGGAGCGCCACCTTCTGAATAGCAGACAACTCCTTACGTGCATAACCCTACTCCACCAGCGCTCAACCAATCAGCAGCAACGAGAAATTCGAAGGGTCCAAACCTCTGCCGAGTCGGAGTGGATGGCTGTGACGCCCGCAGCAGAGGGAATGCAACAAAAGTGGCTGCTGCATGCCCTTCCTTTGCCTCTTCAAGCAAGAAGAACTTGGCTTATCAGCAACGGCCATGGGGCCACGCAATGCCTATGATGTTGGCGTGATCTGACGTAGATCAAGTGGCACCGGCGGAGCGCACTAACCCTTCAAGCTTGAGCTCAGAGGCCTTTCTGGGGTCAGCTCTGCCTTGGTGCAGCTGGGAGAATACGAGTACAAGGCACAAACACATACTTCGAGCTTCAGACTCCAAAGGCTCACACCATGCTATGACGATTAAGAGTGCTTGGGTTTTAGGGTCTGGGGCTTAGGGAAACAGATAGTGTTCTTGACGTGCTGACTTTCTCGCTTGGCCCTCGGCTTCAAACTAATCAGCTTCGGCGCATGAGGCCTGGCAAAAGCTCGGAGGACAGACAAATGAGGCAGGCACGCGGCCAAGCTCACAAGCCCACCGGCCCCTTTTCTTGCAGTCCTATCCCTCCCTCGAACTAGAATGTGCTATTTGGGCCTTCGTGCACCTACCGAACAAGCGCAAAAAGACATATTTTGGCCCCCTTCAGCCTCCTGCAGCTGGGCGAAGGGAATCGGGCCCAGCACCGGAGCATCCGCCCACAGTGCACTTTGGAGGCTTACTTCGGGAAATCGGCTGCGAGGTTCAGTGGACGCATCCTGCTAAGACTTTTCGCAGGTCTCGTGCCTTGACGTGGCCATTCTGAACAGAAGGACATGACAAAGGTATGGAGCCAAGAGCTCATAGATTCTGACTCCGACCGGACGGAGCAAAACCGCAGTCATGCAACCTCCAAGGTTTACTGCGGCGGTACACTGCCACGCCCAACGCCCAAGAGCCTCAAGCTGTCCGGCCCAGGGAGCCAAGCTCCTTCTTCCTGGCCAAGAGAAGGCCCGCCTCGTGTTGCTTTGGTTGTGCAAGACGCGCTGTCGTCCTGAGCCATCGTACGCAAACAAGCCCGGAAACAGCACCCTACTGCAGTGCACGAACTGTCCTGGTGCTCACCTCGTGAACACCTCAAAACCTGAATGCATGTCGGAATGGAGGGAAGTGGGGCAAACAAGAATCCGCACTGTGAGTCCCTACGCTGTCACTAGGCAGTTCCAAGTGCTGATCCTGGCCTTCAGGTTTGAGATGCCTGGACGTTGGCATCCGACCGTCAGGCCGACTCGTGCTGCACTGTCATTCCGCACAGAGACTAGATTTTTTGCATGAGGTGATGACAAGCACAGACCACTGGCAGCAGCTCAGTGCTGCTTTCTTGCCGTGGGATTGCGAACACATGCCCTCAATGAAGCCTGACCCCTGTCGGCCTAAACCGTCCTCTGACATTCAACTTCTATGAGTGAGGCGTTCCGCAGATAGGGCGCAGGCATGCGCTACTAAGTGGGTGATTCAAGACATCGGAGTGTCACATGGTTACGTCTTAACGGGATCTCTTTACAAGGACCCCTGCGCAGGGGAGCCATGACTCTGAGAGACCTGCTGTCGGCTACGGATCTTGCGTGTTCAGGGATTAAACTCTGCACCCTAAACCAGTCTAGCACCTCTAGACCTACGAGCTCCAGAAACAGGCGGCCCTTAAGCTTGGGGAGCAAAACAAGATTTCCCCAAAACAAGACGTGGGCGCACGGTGGCCCTGGCTCACTGAGACACCAGTGCGTCTTGAAGGAGTTGTGAAAGCTCTGACTGGACGGGCATGCTGCACCCGATGCTTGTGGCGGACCTGCCAACCTCAGCAAACTCCGTCTGTGGACGATTATCTTATTCGGTGCTGCAAGGGCGGCCCCTCCCGACTGCTCGGTGCGGTGGACGGCAGGAGAGGACCCTCAAGTTTTTCAAGCCGGTGTCCTGTG